TGTGTGTTTCTGTGTTTATACCAGCAGTGCACTCATCCCACAGTGTACAGTAATTATACATTATATGTAATCTGTTAAGCTCCTAGAGTGGAGAGAATTTGCTTCATTCACTTTTATTTTTTTTTACATTTTTAAATTGAGGTATAATTCATATAACATAAAATTTACCACTTTAAAGTATATACTTCAGTGGTTTTCAGTGTATTCACTATTTTGTGCAACTACTACCACTACCTAATTCCCAAATAGTTCCATCTCCCCAAAAAGAAACTCCACACCCACTAGCAGTTAGTCACATTTCCCCCTCTCACACCCCCTGGCAACCACTAATCTGTCTCTATGCATTTGCCCATTCTGGACATTTCACATAAAGAGAATCATACAACATGTGGTCTTTTGTGCCTGGCTTCTTTCATTTAGCATGTTTTAGAGGTTCATCCATATTGTAGCACAAATAAGCCTAAATTCCTTTTTATGACTAAATAATATCCCACTGAATGGATAAACCACATTTTGTTTATCCATTCCTCAGCTGATGGACATCTGGTTTGTTTCCGCTTTTTGGAGATTGTGCATAGTGCTGCTATGAATATTCACATACAACTTCATTCACTTTTGTATCCCTAGGGCCTAGTGCAGTGCCTGGCAGACAGTATGTACTGAATGAATGAAGAGTCCAGCTGCCTTTCCTAAAGGGCTCCTTCTCCATGTGACATAGTGGCAACGCTTCCATAACAAAAAAGAGCTGCCCTCAGTTGCCTATTAATGCCTGCCTCATCGTGTTCACTGGTCCCAGTGTCGCTGGGAGGCTCTTTCACGTTGTTTGAGCTTCACCAGGAGAATAAGATATCCCTTTATGGCCTGCCATCCCTCACTAAGAGCAGGGGGATGCTTCCACTTATTTCTACTACAAAAGCATTTACTTCTCTTTTATCCTTCCTATGCTGCTCTATCCTACAACCTCCTTTCCTCTTGCCCTGTCAGCCCTGCCTTTCCTCTCAAACGCCAGCCTGAACGTCAGCGCCATATGCTTCAATGTGTCCCCGCCTTCCCCATCGCTAGCTCTGACTCACCAGGCCTGCTGACGGCCTACTCTGTCAGCACCAGCAGAGCTCCCACCCTCTTACCCCTCAGTTTACTTCCTCACACCCCAGACTTGGTATTTGGTCTTTAACATCAAGAGTGTACAGCTTCTAGAATAGCATAGTCCGCAGGAAATACGGGAGCCACATATATAACTTAAAATTAGTAGATTCACATACAAGTTATTCCAAACATACTTAAACATTTTCCAATAACTAAATCAATCATGAGTTTTTAAACTTAAATTTAACTTAATTAAAATTTTGTTCCTAAGCCACACTAGTCACATTTCAAGTGCTCAATAGTCACATGTGGCTACCGGCTACCATATTGGACATCATAGTTCTAGAAAACAAACTAAACTTCAAGAACAATTGCCCCAGGGCAAATTAAGACAGATATCAAACTATCTGGAATCCAGAACAAAACGGGTGCATAAAAAAGCCCTAAATACCAAGGACTGTGGACCCTGTTCTTTGTTCATTCAACAAGCATTTACTAACTACCTTCTATGAGCACGTCATAGGCCTTATCATCAGAGAGGACACAATAGGCTGGGAGAGACACATCATATTCCATTTACAAAGTACAGAATGAATTCAATGCAAGTTGAAATTAAGCCTCAAATAGTGTAGAAGAGGCTAACTCCAGCATTCTAGTGGCGGTGCTCCAAAATCCCACTTGCAAGTCAAATATATTGCACACAAAATGCATTTCCCCATAGCGGCAGTTTTAGAGCATGGTTAGGTATTTAAGTTAGCTCCTAAAAGTTGATTAGACCCATAATAAAATTGAAATATTATAGAGTTACAATTTTAAGTCTAAAATCAGAACTATGAGTTTTGTTTTTCCAACAATATAACATTTAAACAAATACACCCAAACATGTTCTTAACGAACACACAGTCCTTAAGGCCTTCAGCATGGTTGACCAGGTTCAAAGTTCAGCCTTATTTGAGCAACTGAAAGTCAAAAAAGGGGGAATAAGCTGGAATGCTGACCTTAAAGCCAGATGCACTATGGGCCTAAGCTGATGAATGATCTTCAACCCCAAAGAGGAAACACTATTTTCAGACCTTACCCTAGGAGTCAAAATACTTGCCCTCTTATCAAGAGGTGAGATGAAGAGGAAAACAGAAGCACTGACAACAGATAGAGGATCTGGATTCCTGGGCGGGGATGAGCAATTAAGGGATGCCACAACATAAAGGGAGAGGGAGAATAGAGCAGAGTGGGTCTCAGAGCCAGCAGGGGGCCAGCCTTCTTTGACTGGGGAAGGGAAGGCAGAGGGGGTAAGACTAAGCATAAAGGGGCTGGAGGCAGGGCTAGTGCTAGGGGTACTAAGTGTATAGGGACAAGGAGAACTGAAAGGGAAGGCTCAGGATAGGATCCTCATTTGAATCTAAAGGTCATATTTAAGGGCATTTGAGAACTGAAAACTGCTGCTGCTAATGATGATGATGATAAAGGTGATGACAGATAGCACCTAAGAGTTGACATTTACCGTTTTCTACATAAGACAAACTGTTGGAACTTCTTCACATATATATTATGTAATCCTCGTTTAACGGGAAGGATCTCCATGCAGTGGAGAGCACTGAATAGAACCCTGAGGAAAGAGTCTGATAGCCAGAAAAGGAGGGGAGGGGACTTCCCAAAGAAGGAAAATAAAACACACACTTGTTGGGGCTTTAAGTTTTATCCCATATGCTCTGTCAGTTTTCATAACCACTCCCTTCTTGTTCAGTCTCAGACCAAACAACAAAGACTGGGCCTGTCTTTTTAAAACCAAGAGCCAAACTCCCACCGGAGGCTCAAACAATATTTGTAGATAATGATAAGGACATGCTTTGAGAGTCCAACAAACCCGAGTTCAAGTCCCAGTCTGAGGCTCTTAATAGTTCTTAATAGTTAATAGTTGACCATGGGCAAATTATTTTTTAACCCTTCTGAATGCTGTCTTTATCATTCTCACAAAGGAGAATGAGCTAAATAAACTATAAAAATGTCCTAAGTATCCACTTCCCCACCTCTCACAAACCCACCCTCTCTCCTTACCAGACAGCTAGAAAGAGAGCAAAATAATCCCTCTCCTAAAAAACAAAAACAAAAAATCCTTCATCAGACACCTACCCTAGGCTTAGAATTCAGCAGAACTCAGCATGATCCACCAACAGTAACTAAGATTGGTATTGACACACTTTGCCCCTTCTTATACTCCAAATTTGAGAGGAATCACAAACAAAAGCTGTGCCCTGCTCCCTTCCCTAAAGAAAGCCAAGCCAGACTCTGGCCTCAAACTGTACCAACCTCTCCTGAGGACTGGCAGAGATGTCTTGAATTTACCCAGCCATCACAGGGTGATAACAGCTACTGTCTATGACACATGCAAAAGATCCAATTTGAAACCGAGAATTTCAAAACAAAGTATTGAAATATTCTCAGCATGGTCTCGGTGAGGTGGGTGATTTACTGAATCTCTGACTCCTTTTCACTCCCAGGAACGTTTGAGTATCCATGATATTGGAAAAAATGGAGGTATGAATAATACAAACTAACAAACACCACAACATTCCCCTAAATACTCTGGCTCTGAAACATGTGACATTCACAGAGGTTGTCTCTCCAGCTCTGGGTCACCCAGAGCAGTGCAGCCTCACCTGCTCACTTGCAGCTGGGGCTTGGCTGGAAAGACCCTATCATGGTTCCCACAGCACGCAACTGTCCAGTTGCACAGGGCCCCACACTTGGTTGTTGTTGCTGTCTTGAAATTATTAATAATTAATTATTATTAACAATTCTTAACAAGGGGCCCTGCATTTTAATTTTATATTGGGGCCTGCAAATTATGTAGCTGGTCTGGTGGTGTCTGACTCAGAAGACCAGTTCAACTCACAGCAGCAACTGGTGAGTTGTGGGGGCCATCACACCTGGCTTAGGGACAGAACGAACAACTAGTTAGAAAACAGACTAGTTTTCATTCTTAGGAAGGAAGGACTTGACCCCACACTACTCCCTCAAACACAAAAACAAGTGGTGATTGCAATTCTATTTGAAAGATGGAATAAGTAAGCCAATTAAGCCTAATTTCCTTCTGGTCCTCTCTAGTACCCTGGAGGGGGAAGCCATCAGATGCTCAGTTAGGGAAATGCTAGTGGTAGTGCCGTTAGTTCCAGCCACCCAAGGAGAGTTGGGTTATGAGACAGAGTAGCACACAGCAACCACTGCCAGCATAAAGGAAGGAAGCACAAGGAGACATACTCACAACAAGGAATCAATTACCCTAAGTAGAAAACGCAGGACATAAATGAAGGTTAATATCCACGGTTAACCAAAAATTCAGTGAGGAGAAGCACTTCCTTGCATGTGTGCTTTAAGTAAAAACTGAGGATATAAGAATTATTTTTTAAAAATTAGAGATTTGTTAACAAGTAACAAACTACTTCTAAATTCTTCATTTTTCTGGTTAGGACAATTTTTCACAGGAGACGAAAACTTATTCTAACACTTAAAGTAAAACTGCTATAACTGCTTTCAATTCTTTAGTTTACCTGAACATTTTAACAAATGGTGGGAGCATGAAGGGCAGACCATCCCGAGCCTCCACAAATGCCCCAAATACCCCAACTGCCCAAGAAAGGCAGAGCCAGGGCGCCCAGTTACACCCACATTTCCAGAGAGAAATTTCAAAGATCAGGTCTCTACCACCATCAGGAAAGCTACCCACAGAAACTTGGGTAACAACACGAGAGACAAAAGTCCCTGATGCTGGAGCCCAAAACAGCCAACTCAATCAGGTAACAGTCAACCAAGCGAATCGCAATGAAGCAATTCAAATTAGCTTTTCTTTTCAATGGTTTTATAAAATAGACACTTTAGACTGGGTCCCATTCATTACCTGCCATATTCCAAAAGTGTAGCATGGATTCGAGATTCTTCATCAAGCAGCTCCTCTGCTCCCTGCTGGCGTTTGTATTTCCGACGGGGCTTGTAAACATCCTAAGAAGTGGATGAGACAGATAAGTTACTGAGTGTGAGAAGGCTCTCCTCCTGAGCTGGCTGCCGGATGCGTCCAGCCAATCAGGGAGCACGTCTTTCCCCAACACGGTGACTATGCATCTCTCTGCAGGTCAAGAGTGGGCACTCAGGGTCACTACCTTCAAGGAGTCTGCTCCTTTGAATTTGTATAGGTAGCAAATATTTCCACCCACTCTATTGTTTGCCAACTTGGTTTTAACTTGGTGGGGTTTTTTGTTCTGTGACATTTTAATATTTTATATAGTCAAAGTTATTAATCATTTTATATCTTACTTCCTATGCCACGGATTGTGAAAAAAAAAAGTTCTTGTATGTTACTTTTATAATTTATATTTAGCTTTTTAATCTACTCAGCTTTTTCTTTTTTTGGTATAGTGAAAGGTAGGGATTTGTTTTCCTGAATGGAAATTAAGAATCCCAACATCATCAGTGTAATAGTTATTCTTCCCTGACTTGAAACAGCACGCATATTTAACATGAGCCAATATTATCCTCTCCAATTGCTCCTGCTTTGTGAGTCTCTATCATGTCTCCACTGACCTTTTTCAAATTTCCTGACTATTCTTACACATTTTCTTCCAAATGAATTCTAGTATCAGCTTGTCGAGTTCATTATGAAAAACTGTTGAGTTTTGATTAGAATCACACCAAATTTATAGATTACTTTGTGGAGAACCAACATCTTTATAACATTGAATCTTGCCTTGAGAAGCAAGGTTTCTCTCTCTATGCAAATCTTTTTTATTCATTAATAAAATTTTCCAGAAAAAATACAAATTTTCCAGTCACTACATATCCAGACCTTTCCACCACCCAGAGCCACAAACCAGTCCAACAATCACAGACATATATGTTAACCCAGAATCCTTAAAAAAAAAGTCCTGAAATGGCAAAGGAGATCTCAATTCTTACATTCTAATATCAGAAAAGGAGAGTGGATACAAACCCTTCAGAGATATATATCTTTTTTATAAAAGTGTTTTGAGGTTTATCCTCAAAAAAATTTATGAAAACATAAAATGCACTATAAACTTTCAATGACTTGTTAAATTATTAGAGTGTAATTTAGGTATAAATGTGGAAGCAAATCCCGATCTATTTCATGTATGACACATTCTGAAACTATATCTTCTAAACAAAATATATGGCTTGTAGTAGGTTAACGCAGGTCTTCACCTCCAGATGACCTGGTTTGTCACTCTACCCCAAATAAATGTCCTTCTTGACTGCCAAGTGGCAGTCAAATAATACCTTAGTAATATTTGCTCAAGGCTCTGGGTGCAAATAGGCAGCTGTTTACACAACCAAGGTATTCTAGTTGTTTTCTGGATCTTTTCTTCTCCACTACCAGAGTTCACCACATCTAATCTCTACCTGGACACCAAGACAAGTGTCACTATCAAGTTTCTCCAGATAGTGGCATTTTTATTCTAATTAGAATTGTTCCCCCCTTGATAATTCTAGTTAACTTTATTATTATTTTACTTTTTATTATGAAAAGTTTCAAACATACAGAAAAACATTCTTTCTACAACACACACTATACAATCTCAACAATTTTGTGGAAAAGGAATGGAACAGGGTCTGATAAGATGTTGAAGGTTGTTATAATTTGCTGCCACAAGTATTTCCTAGTTTGCTGCTGGTGTCTACATGAATAGGAAGCTATAAATAACATAAAACAGATTTACGGGGAAATGAAAAATATAATTAACCCATATGACGTCAGTTACTGCATATGGTTTAATTTCCACTGAGCTCTACCATTGTATAGCAGCACTATGTAATTGAGCTTAACTACTATCTTCCGTAGTTACCACTGACAGAGTCAGTGACCTAAGACAGGAAACTGGATTCTTCTAAAAAAGGACTGACTCCAATACAACAGCATACTGAAACCAACAGCTACAAAGACCTTTTATTCTGCCAAACAATGACAGCGTTGGCCTTTGTGTAATTATTCCTTATACTTTAAAGCACCTTATATGCATCTCACCTTTTGCATTTTATAATTACACTATGAGGTAGAGGCAAGGCAGATGCTATCACCTCCACTTTATTATTGAAGAAGCAGAGATTAAATAATTTGTCCAGGATCTCTAGGATAGTATGAGGCCTGGCCCTACGTACCCTGACTGCCTGTCCAGGGTTTTTCCACTACACTACACTACACTAGCCTCTGATGAGCATTCTAGTCACCCACCAGCCATTTCAGCTGAGCTCTCTCACAAGACTCACTATCCAATCTGAAGCTGCCACATGGATCATCACAAGGGTTTGCTTAAGAACCTAAATGTTATAGAGGTTTCCAGGCCCACTATAAAGAACTACTGTCAAGAGGAGTAGCTGCCAAAGCAATGGGAGTCAGGAACACTGAAGTCTAGTCCCATCTCTGCCACTAACCAGCTTATGACCTTGGGAAAGGCAGTTCCCCTCAAGGGGCCTATTTCTTTATCTGTAAAATGAAGGTTGGACTCATAGATCTTGAATGATACTCCCAGTCTCTCACTTTTCATGTTCTTTTAATCTTGCAAAGATACTGATTTGGTAACATAATTCCATCAATAAAGTCTGTGATTATTAAAAAAAAAATGCTTTACACGATTGTGCTCTTAAAAAGGTATGCAAAATCAACTTATCTTTTGCCGTTAATGCAAAATCAACATCTTTTGAAAGTAATGGCTATCATTTATTGAATGCTAGGTATGTGCCAGGCATATACCGCTCTATATGCGCTGCTGGTTTGATCCTCACACCTACAAGCATAGCTATCCTTGTTTCCCTTGAGTAGATGATGAAACAGACACGGAGAGGTTAAATAGCTTGCCCGTGGTTACAAAGGTAGTAAACCATAGAGGCAGGATGACTCCAGAACTGGGACTCTTAAGCACTCTGCAGGATGTTTGATACCCCAACTTTGATCACCCTTCATGGTGGGTTCTGATCATTTGTCTCAGTAGATGCTAAAGGACACATGAGTGGGACTGAAAAATTAAGGTGAGCCTTTTGTAAAGCAGAGACTTGCACCATGAGAGTCACAGATCTCTACTCGGCAGGTTCACCTGTTGGTGCAACTCCTCTGAGTCACATCACGTGGCAGGGTGAGGAAATAGGAGAGCACAGCACCACGGCAGTGTCTGCGGCAAAGCCCTGATCACTACCCCTCACAACTCCTCCATGAACTAACGGAGAAGGCAGTGCAACAGTCACTACCAAATGGCCATTCTACATTCCAGAACTCCAGTGGGCCAGAGCACACCCAGCTCGGCAGGAAGCCACATTCCCCAGTTGCCTCTATTGACCTTACTTAACAGCTCATTCTCACAGGGCTCAACAGCCCAAACCCAACTCTAACAGACACACCTCAGTCCACAAGCCCCACAGACAAACTCTGGGTTCCACCTAAAGGGGCTTCACAAATGTTGCCACCACCAAGGGCAAAGTCCTGAAAGATCCCATAAGAAAAAGTTATTATAACTGACACAAACACGTTTGTTTGTTTTTTCATTCTCACATTAATAAAACAACAACAAACAAAACAAAGCCCCTGGGGACTGCGTGAAGGAAATGCTGAGACATGGATGGATGGTCATCATTTCTGTAGACAAGAACGTGTCTATAGATAAGAAAGCTGGGGAGGCAGAGTTTTCTCCAGAGACACCTCAAACCTTATTTCTTTTCTATTCTCTTTTACATGAGCTCTGCAGGCATGTCTTATGCTCTTTGAGGTCCAGTGCAAGTCCCTCTTTAGGTCTCCTTGAGTCTGTACCAAACAGTGTAACTTGGTAAACAAGAATAAGGTCATTGTGTTATATAAAGGAGCCACAGATGGCTTCTGTATGTTGGCTCCTAGGTTTACTTCTTCACAGCAGTCTGAGACCCGTTGGCTCAAAAGCCCACCAGTGCCAAAGTCAAATTTTTACACATCCAATTATTTTAAACATGGCCCAAAAAAGCAGACTTTTTAGCCATTTACAGTCTGTGTACGTTGGCTATTCTGTGAAACTGCACCCAGCATTTGCTAACCAGGTAGGATAAGTCCTGGGGCTATAAAGAACCCAAGCCTTCAGACATCTCTGACCAGAGACTTCCCACTGGGCTGCTGAGCAACACCACCTAGACACTGAAACCTCCTCTGTGACACTCCCGGGGGGTGTCCTTGCTCTCTTCCCCTTCTGGATGGCAGCCCCTGTGCTTAAGCCTCTGGATGGCCACATGCTGTGAGGGACTCCCCCACCCTGCATGCAAACCTGTCAAAGCTTGTGTGTGCTACTGCCACCTCGAGGTCACATCTTTTTCCTTGATGAGTCCCCAAATCTCCTGAACCCCTTACTGGAATGTCACTGCTTTTACCTCACATCCTAGAATGAGGTCTAGCACACAGTGAGTGCTTGATTAATATTACTGAATGAATACATGGAGTCAGACAGTCAAGGTTTTAGTCCTTGCTCCATTACTTACTACCTGTCTGATTTAGGGCAAGTTACTCTAACCTCTGGTTTTCCATCTGTAAAACAGGTATAAGTAGCATTGTGAGGATTAATCAATCAATATATTTAACAGTATCTGACACACAGTAAGGGATAAGATATATATTTTTTGCATATTTTTATCATACATTTGCTGGGTGAAAAGGCCCTCCTCACAGAATTCCCTATGGAAGAATACATTGGAGTAGTAATTTTAAATGACATGGTCTTGTGGGAGATCAAAATTGGCCACTCTGAAATATATCTCTTTACCTTGATTGTTTTCTCTGACGGACATTTGACCTCCCCTACTAACTGCCTAAAGAATTTAACATAGAAGACCTGTTCCAGGAAGGAGTTACTATCTGATGGCTGTAATATAATGTAAAATAGATGTTACAATAGGAAAGGCACCAACGGGCCCCTCTTATCAAAAATTCTGTCTCTTCCTGGCCACATTCTCTAGGTGGCCCTGCTAGGAGTTGCCAAACATTTACAT